AAATATTTCATGAAAATAGATTGCAGAAATAATAATGTATTGCTTCCATGGGTTAAATCCGTGTGAAAAAGACTAATAAGGAGCCAATCATAGATTCAATTCGATTCAACGTGCTGCAGCTGTGCTCCTATCAGGCAATCTGTTGAAAACATCCCAGAAAACATCGTTGCTCCCCGCAGATTCGGTTCCGTTCCAGTGACTATTTAGCCGCAGATCGTTGCTCTGATCATTTCGGGACGAAGTGTCGCCCGTTTTCTGTTCCCCCGGTCATCAGTTCGCGGCTCTCCTGAAAATTCCAGCCTTTCATATAAAAAGTGAGTGAAAGAAGAAGAAAAAACTATAAATTAATTAAATATATTCGAAGATGCAAAAGAGTGATTTGAAGTTCTTCCAAGTTACATGTTTCAAGACGTCTTCACATTTTTAAGGTGCGGGTTTTCTCGGTTCAAGAATTCGCGCTTACGAAGGCGAGGAAACGCGTTTCGGATTTTAGAGTTCATCGAAAAGTTGACAATTTTTTCATGAGATCTGCGCCTGAAATATTCTCCGCGCTCGTCAGATAAGAGAAGAACGAAACATTGAGCAGGTGAAAAATAAATAATGTTTGCATCGTTTTACGTGGGTGATACCGAATTTTAAACATAAAAAACTTTTCGAATTAGATCAATCTATCCAACGAATCATCAATAAAAAAATCCATTACAAATTAAAATACATGTGCATTTAACTAAGAATAAATTACGAATATCTCGCTCATATACAAGAGACACGCCTATAATTTTCAACGTTCAATTTTCCTAATAGAAAGAAAATTCGGACGTGCGATCCCTGCTGGATTATTGCATGAAAAATCTCAAACCCCGTAAGAATTTGCAGAATTGAAGAAGTATGACGGTCAACATCAAACCATTGGCGTGGAATGCAAATATAATGGCGCGCGGAATACAAAATATATAGCTTCAAAGAAATTTCACTGGAGTGCTCAAATAAATGTATGAGGCAACCTCTGTAGTTTGCCTCCAGAATTTCTCAGAATATAAGAGAGAATCATGAACCCCTTGTTTTAGGCGGTAATTTGATCGAAGTGAATATCTGTAGGATAAGCTCTTGAATCGGTCTCGAATGCCAAACCGTATTTAAATTCACAGCATATATCTGCAGTTCTTAAAGCAATAAAATTCTACATAAATGACTTTGAAGATACGTATTTCTTATACATAACTGACTAATATATTGCTTTTTTAATCAGCACATTGCAGTTTGAGAAAATTTGACACAAGACAGGTTCAAAATAAGAGGATGGAGTTTATTTGAAAATTTCCTTTGAATTGTACCAGAGAGTTGGAAATACTGCAATATTACGGCTTCAATATGTTGCATAATCCCTGTACAATGCTTATTACCCATTTCCCACCAATCTTCACCCGGATACTGTTTTTTTAAACAAATTTTTCAGTGAGAATAATTTTTCAAAGCCCCTGGTAGTTCATCTTAGTGATATGTTACTGTACATGCGTGTATTGTGCAGTTAAAATCAAACCGGTATCATTCCCGTCGTTTCTCGCCAACTTGATTTCTTTTTAAAACCAAAACTTCAGAATGAGCCACGATTCCCCGTGAAAGAAGCTAGTGTTCCCGCACTTGCTTAACTCACATTTCTTCTTATTTTGGCAGAGGAAGAAAATGTGACGTGACCACGCGAGCCCCGTCACGTGTGCTAATGGCGGCTCGTTTTTCGGTGCGGAGAAAGGAATAAAAACACCGGGTCAAAAAAAACGGCGCCACTCTGATTTTCACCAGTAAAACACTCTCGATTTCCCTTCGCCTGCCCACCCCAAGACGAAACGTTTATTGCGATTATTAACCGTATACACTATAGGAATTGTCGGTGGGCTGTTTATTGTTGGATAATGTGAAACCGCCGCCTTCGGGAAGTTGTTGATTTCCCTTCGCCTGCCCACCCCAAGACGAAACGTTTATTGCGATTATTAACCGTATACACTATAGGAATTGTCGGTGGGCTGTTTATTGTTGGATAATGTGAAACCGCCGCCTTCGGGAAGTTGTGTCCCGAAACTTGCTGGTCAGGCCAACGAAAGCAGGTGCAGTGAGAAGGATCGAATTAAATACAGATTCATTCAACAGTGAAAGGTTCAGTTAGGAATGCGTCTTTACAGAAATTGAAGAGAAGATGAACTTTTGATTCAATTTCTCCCTAAAATCGCAGATGATCGCTGGAATCGAACGATTCTTTTCATTTATTTATTTATTACAGGCTTGGAAAATGATAGTTAAAAAGGTTAGATTGGTCATCTTTATCAAGTATTTGCGGAAAATGCTTGTAATCGGTTTCAAATGGGTTAAGTACTTTGACTAACATCTAGCGGCAGTCTAATTTATTTTTCTCATGTACAGTACTTACTTGTTTGTGACGTCACAGATTATGGCATCAAGGCTTGCTTGAGTTAGGGCTTATTAAAGCTAATATCTATTCCAATCTTTTTGAATGTTTATACGACTTAACATGGGTTTTCTCTTTGTTTCCGTATCATTTGATGCGACCGGAGTTTAAGAACAAGTCTTAGCTCGAATAGACATGGATTACAAATTTTTTCAAATTTATTCACTTTCTCAAATTTGCCTGTGAACCGAGGGTGAAGTAGCTTTAAAATTCGGAAAATTTACAATATTGAAATTAATTGCATGAACACAAGATGTGAGGATTCAATAAATGACAAAATATGTCCTTGCTTTGGAAACTTTTTTGAGGGAAACAGCCCAAATAAAAGACTCGGATTTTATAAATTTATTACGCAGCATCATTATAAATAGGCTTTGTTTGATTTGACCAGATTTTCAAGGCTCTTGGCGATACTGGTTTGTACGGGATACTTTAAACCCGTTTTAAGATGTGTTTGGCCTTTTTCATTATTCTACGCATGATCACAGAGCTTACGAATATGTGGCTGAAAGTAATATTTAAATGCCGGGAAGTTTACTCAATTTTCTGAAGTGTCTGACTGTCGGGAAGGCAAGTAACTACCCAAGTCTCGAAACCATCGCCCAGTTTTTCTTCGTGCAGGTAGATGTCGCCAAAACTGACTCTTGACAGTTGTTGCAGAGAAAATGAGAGAGGAAACCAATGAAGGTTTCCTCATGCATCACCTGATGATGCAGCACATTGATTTCTTTTATTTTTATGTTTATTTTTGGCCAATCAGAGGCCAGGGAACATGCAAGAATGTTCTGAAATTTTTTGGTCAGTTCAGATGACCAGACAATTCCAAAAAAATCAATAGAAGTTCCTAATTAATTTGGATTTATAAGCAGTCTGTCCTGAACTCTTGAAGGACAATCATCTACTACACTTTTCCTGATTTGTAACCAAATATGTGATTCTTATTTATGCTGTGATCTGATCTTGTGATTCAATTGAGTTGTGTGGATTGATTGTGTTTATTCTCTTGGATTCTTTGTCTTATTTGACTCTGCTGAAAAGATCCAATAACATTTATTAAAACTAGGAACATACATATTCAAGGCAACCCCTTTGAATATGTGTTCTTGGCCTCAAAAGGCTGATTGCTTGCGTTTTTATTTATTTATTTTGTGATCCTTGATCAAAACAGTCATGACACTTCATGACTTCATGTATGGTTTCATTGCAGAATCGCCATGTTTCTTAATCATTTGCAAGATCCTGAGGATTGATTGAGTTTGGGTCATGTAAGAGCTTAGCAGCAAATCAAATGCAACCATCAGCAGTACTGTTCAAATGTTTCTCAGCAAACCCGTCAAAATGTTCCTCTGCATGTTTTGAATGCGAAAGTTTCAATGGTTATTGTCCCAGTTGGACGCGACCTTTAATTTTTAGAGTATATTTTAGAAATATTTTCAGAGTATAAGTGTGACTGTCGAAAAAAATCATGACACAGCCTATAATGTTGAATGGTTCTGGGATTTTTTTCCGATTTTTGAACGAGTGTTTCAAACTAATGCATGATGACAAGTGAATAAGACTTTCCAGTTACAGCCAGAGTCCTCCAGCACCTATGTTACAGAGAGTGCTGAAAATTTTCATGTCTTGCTTAAAAATCGAATTTACTCAAGATGATGAAACACCAACACAAAACAAAACAAAAGTCATGATGGAAATCAGAAAAAAATTGAAATCAGATAATGTATTCATTGCTGAAAGAGTCAAGGCTGGTTTAATAAATCATTATTTTAGGAACATTGCTGGTCATGCAGTAATCTAATTTCTTTTCGCCTCAAATCTGGATATTGCACCTTTGAATTCATGATTGATATGTTTTCATTTGATGTCTCTCGCGAGATTTTTTTTTTTTTTGCCACGTGGTTCAAAACCTCACGTTTTATTGTTCTGTCGTCTCTAGATCTTTTTCCTCAGGAAGATTGGATGCTTCTTCCCAATTCAAAGTGAACGTTAAAATATAAAAAATGTTCATAATAAATGCCTCCAATCGCCGAATTCAACTGAGTCACGTTCAAGAGTGAAATAAATTTCGTCAATCTTCTGAAAGTCGAGGAGCAAATAAATACGAAGGTGAATATCCTGTTCCATCTCGCACCATATGCCACTTACATCCGTACATACGACGAGCTAGTATATACTGGTTCAATCGCGAATGATTCTTCCACAGGATTAATCGTTCCACCCGAGGTTGTCCCGAAAATCCATTAGTGGAAACAAGAAAAAAAGTACTTTAGGTTTCACTGCAACTCGAAAGCTTCTGTCTTCTCATGACCAGACCAAGCGCAGTCCTGGTACCTAAAGAACCAACTGCAGTGATGAATAGTGCGTGAACCGAATGCTTTTCAACAGAAGAGTATAGAAGAAGAAGCCTTTCATTCCTCAAGCCAATTTCTCGGGGCACCACGGAAGCCATCACCTGTTTTTTTTTTTTTTTTTGTGTGGTCCACAAGTACTACTCGAATCGCAAAAATAAACACCACAGAAAGAAGGAAATAAAGAAAAAGTCCCGATTTTTATTCCGCCATTCAACAGCACAGCTGAGTTAATCATCCAGAACGAATCAATTTTCTTCGCATTTCTTTTTCTTTATCATCTCACCAGGAAATAGCTGGAGAATATATTGGGGATGCTGCCAACAACCTCGAGCATCAACAAAATAGACAAAGAATCCACTCTTCAAATCGACCAACGCTCGCATGTTTCATCCACAAGCAAAAAACGAGCAAAACAAAACAAAAAGGATACAAATTATGGCGATCGAACAATTTTTTCCAAAAAAAAAAAGAACCCACACACAAAAAACAGGAACTCAAAATGTGTCGTCGAACCCGAGCAGCTCCTGCTGTTTTCTTCGCTTGCGAAACTCGGTTCGTTGTTCAAAAGAGGAACCTTTGCTTTCCAAACATTTTTTTTCCTTTTTCTTCGACGACCAACATTATTCTCTCCCTTCGAATTGCTCAGTATATGATCGATGATGATGATGATTCACGATGGATCAGGATCAATGATTATTGTTGCAGGAATCGCATTTGACGAGTCCTGCCTCGTCGCAATTCATACACTTGAGTGCGATGAAGTCCAGTGTGAAGTTGTTGCGATGCGAGGACTTTTTGCTGCCGTTGCAAACCCCGCAGGGCAACATCCGGTAGCCTCCGCACTTTTTGCACTCCACTTCCGGTTCCGATCTCTGCAAAATAGAACGGTAGAAACCGCAGGTGAATGCGTAAGTTCAATTTCACCGCTTTCAACACTGTCCGTGGTGTGTATAAACAGCATGTATAAAAAAAAACCAAGCAGAACACAACCAAAAGCCCCCCTTTTTTTTAAATATGGGAGAGAGTTGCATAACCTCCATTTTTTACAAATATGAATAAGAGTTTCATCACATAAAATAAAAATCGCACGACAGAGCATATTCAAATCATTGTAAAACCATCGAATCAACGATTCCGCTCAAGAATATCAGCAAAAATGAGCAATAAAACATACTAAATTGCAAAAAACTATCAAGAACAAAGGCTAACTGTTCAGGTTAGGCTAAATTCGGCTAAATTATTGATATCCACACTTGAGTCTATTCGCTCTAATATTTACATGTTTTCTTTTGAACCCAGGTTAGGCGTATGGATGTAAAAATGTTATAATGCAAAAAAAGTCGACGGATTTTGTAATTTGCTTTCTCTCTCTTGGTTGTGGTATTCGCAATTTTGTCCAAGTTTTTTCTCGTTTCTTTTTTCAACTTCTGCCTCGCTGTGACGAAATTCAAAATCTTGTCTTTTAAAAATACCTAGCTGCCATTTGAGGCAAATTGAGCACATCTATGCAAGTATGGAGACCTTTCATGTCCATCAAAAAATTTATGATGCATCGTAAAAATTCTAGGATTTTTCTTTCCAGAAATGGAAACTCACCTTGAAGGGTTTGAGCAATCTTCTCAGTTCTCCGGTTTCATTGAGCTTTTCCAGCTTCTCTGCGTCCTGAAAACAAAAAATATGAACATTACGTCAGGTAAGCAAAAGAAATGCTTGAGTGAGCATTGGCGACAATTTCCAAGAAGTACAAAAACGCTTAAATTTCTTCAGCGCGAAGAGGATCGAATTCAGCAGCGCAACCGAACCGCTCCGAATAACGCAAGAAATGAAGAAATCTGCGCACTTTCAATTTCCCCTCGATTTCATTGAAATGAAAAGCCTTCTATGTTGAAATATACGCATTTTTCATTTCAGAAATAATATCCTTTACAGCCTCTACAGTTTAATTTAAGCTTTAAAAGGGACGATATAGATGACACGATATAAAATACTGTATTGTAGTACTACTGTATTTTATTGAACTGCATTGCCAAGTGCTGCGGCATTTCACTTGTCCACACGGATCCAGCAACGACGTGATCATCTATTTGGAAAACGAATTCAAGTCAGAAAGCCTTCAAAAAATATACGATTCAAGGACGTATGAAAGCTATCTTTCTTCAGCACCAGGAAGTCGAGGTAAAAATGATGAATTTCCTATAGTGATGGGTCTCGGATAAATGTCTGACTCGAAAAACTCATCAGAATGCCGAAGGCGAGTTTTTCAAAATAAAGCCCGAAGTAATACCCACGTTGAAAAATTTTTCCGGGGTCTCGATGCGAAACACGAGAACCTCGAAGGGAAAAATTCCAGACCACCCGTCAAGAGTGGGGAAATTAAACGCGTCATTATCGGGGTCTTGCAAAAATTATTTTTTCCCCTTCCATTATACTCAGAAGTCATAAAAGTAAATTTGTTTTCGAGTTCTCGATTTGATGTCGGGGAAGCACTTTGCAGAGTAATAATGAAGAAGACGAATCGTTTGTCACTTATGTATCATGAAACCGCTTTTCAGTTGTTTCATTTTTGGGGTTTCGGAGGGCATTGCTCAATGGGCCGCCAGGCAGGATTGGGTAATTATATTTAAACCCCACGCTCAACTTTCGGTGCCTCGAATCTTACGCAACTTTTCCAGCCTCCTTTTTTTTGAGCCGCAGGCTTTTTTTTTAAATAGTTTCCCTGAACTTGCTCAAGAGCTATTCACTTCTAGGAGAAAATAAAATTGTGTTTCTGTAACTATGAGCGTCAATCATTTTCTGTACAATTTTTTTTAACAATCGCCATTGTTGACGTGAAACGACTGGTGGGGAAGATGAATGGTACTGAGGTCAAACTTTTGGCTCGTCTTCAATAAAGTGATACAGCACCTCGAAGTTTCACAAAAAAACATTTCCTACTCATTGAATCCACAAAAAGTTGCTCGAGTTTTCGAAAAATAAATTCAAAAATGAAAAACGGATCCTTCTCCTTGCACTTCAAGTTTTCCTTGTGTTCATAAAATATGCTCACTAAGGAAAAATTAAGAGATTTAATCGAATCATTGGAAATGAAAGATTTTGAATACATCATCTATATATTAACAGCAACATTTCAAACTACAGTACAGTTGGCGATGATCGGAATTTTCCCTCCAATATGCTCAACAATAAATTGCATGCATACTGTATATGGATGACCTTATGCATAGCAATGAGGTCTTTTTTTTCAGCATATATATATGGAAATAATTTCTGGACCGGCTCCGTGATTATTTATATTCTGCGATTTTGGCCCTGTTTCGATTCAGTAAATTTTACGGGAAAGAAACATCTCAAGAACACTTCTTTTGGAGAAAAATAACTGTCGAAATAAGTTGAACATCTTTTCCATGCTAATCGACAGCATATACATAAGGTTTCTCTCTTTTTTTCTAAAGAAAAACTCAAAGTTCCAACTTGGCATGAAGAAAAACTACGCACCACTAAAAAATCAGCCCTCCTCCCAAAACGCCGCGGTCACTTCCCCGTTATTATTATTTTTTTCCGAAAATTATGTTCCGGTCTCTCAAGCCGGAAACTGCGATCTTAACGACCCGGTAAAGCCTATGAAATTTTACGAGGAGAATGTCTACACATGTTTTGAAACTCTTCCGAAACTACAGCTTTCTCACCAGGGGAATACACTTCAAAACAGGTCATCAACACGGGAATAAACGGAAGAAGAAAGTTTTTTGACCTTGTAATCTTCATGTTCTTGCGACACGCAATGGGACGAACATAAATTTTGAAAAGTGATGAGAGCCAACGCAAGGAATATACGAGGGCTGTCACACTTTCAAGCGACCTTGAGTATTTCTCTAGAGTAATTATGACTATAAAATACTGTAATTTTTTTATTAATTTAGTAGTCCAATGTTCTAAGGTTCTGAGGTTTTTTCAGAATTTTAAAATGAAATTTCAATTCACTGCATGATGATAAGTGAAAACTTTCCACTTCATGTCAGAGTTCTCAACACATGTCACAGGGTGCTAAAAGTTTGTCAGCCCAGCAAAAAAAGCTGAAATTTTTGCGTTGTCTTAACCATTATATGCAAAAAAATCTCAGGCAAAGACCAGACCTCGGATGATAGTTTTGAAGAAAAAAATAGGCGAAGAAATTGGAAATGAACCCGTTCCATTGGAAAAAATCATAACGTTTTTTTTTTGTTTTTCATCAGTTGCGAGCAGAAGAGTAATCATTGAAAAAATTTGGAAATTTCACAAGATATAGAATAGATCACGGTTAAAGATAACGAAACAAAAATTTTCAAGGAATTTTTCGTCATACAGTAATACATAATGAAGAAATAAAAATTTGAGGCTTACCCCGAGTAAAACGCCTTCTTTGTAGACCAGAGGCACATTGATGACGGAAGATTGCGTTCGTTCGCGGAATTCTGCCTGCAATTCCTGGTTCAAATACAGGTCCCTCTCCTCGAATNCAAAGTGCGCAGAATCGTCTTCACCTTTTGGCACTTGTGATACGTGTCTCGGATCACGCCCAGATTAGTCGTGTACATCACCAACTTGCCGGCTTCCTTCTCCTGATAACTCTGGAAGAAGAAGAGAACGAAAAAAAAAACAGACAAATTGTTAGATGCGGACTTATAAATAAATTACTATAGCACGCGACGACGTGATTCGTGAAATGATTCTTTATAGAGACATCCTTTTACAGCACCTTCAGTCCATTGTGTCCAAGACACTGATTTTTTTTATATATATTTCTGGAGATTGGTCGCCTTGATTTCTGTCTCGGTGTATTCGTGACTGAATTAGGTTGACCAGGATTACATCTTACCAGATTATCTATTCCGGTGACACCTGCCTGAAATTCCAGAATAAAATTACTTAATTCCGAGAATAAATAATTATTTCAAAATATGAAGCTGTAATGAAAATTTTCGTTGATTTTTATCAATATATCATTCAAATTTTCAAGATGCTTCAATTTATAATTTCTAATGAATTACAGCTTTTAAACCTTCCTGAGTCGTATTTTTTGATTCCGGGTCTGAATTCCCTTAGAAAGAATGCATTAAAAACCTCTCTAACTTGAAGGCTTTTCCTTTCAAACCTCCACATGACTCAAATTTGCCAAGACCTTTTCGCTATTATTTTCTTGATGCAGGAAAGAGAAAGCAATAAAAAATTACCTTCATGTTTTTTTTAAAGGAATTGAAAGATTAATTGGGCAAATGAACCCCTGCCTTCAAGTTCAGCATCCTGTCAATTTATTTAAGAGGCAATTTAAGGACCCGAATATCACCATTTACAGGTTTCTCCAGTCCTTCTATTTTTCCCATGAAAAAATACTTGTTATTCCCCAATCTCGAAACCTCCATAACTCGATTTTTTTTCGCTGGTCCCTTGGAATTGGACTTGAAGATTATGTTTGACGGTACTGTATTTACTTTTTATATATGATGAATCTGCTCATGTAGATAAATTTTGCACTGAAACTACTGTACATCAGTTACTCCGAGTAGTCTGAGAATTTCTTACCGTGCAGGAAAATAAGAAGGACTGGTCAGACCCAAATGGATAAATGGGGCGAGGCTCTACATTCAGAGAAACATCCACAAACAAGGAGGTGAACAATTGGAGCAGAACCGGCAGTGAGTGAAAAGCGCATCGGTGTTAATTAATTCACCTGGGGAGGATCAGGAAGCCGATTCATTACGCACATGTTCCGGTGCTAAACTCACTCGATTTCTTATACGTGGGTTCTAACAAAACTTCTCGGAATGAAACTGAAAATGGCGTCTGATCCAGCTGAAAAAAAAATTATTCTTTAGGGCAAACATATTCTTTGGCACAAAAAAAATCAGCCCTATGTTCAGCTCGATCAGACGCCATTTTCATTTTCATTCCGAGAACTTTTGTTAGAACCCTCGTACAGCAAGCTTCTTTCTCTTCAGCTCGACTCAGATTCGTAAATACAATCAGAAATGTACATTCTCTACATTTCTTGTGCGGAAGAACTGACTGAGCTCGGGTCTATGTACCAACTTTTTTTTTCAGGCGACGCACAGATAAAAACATTTTCAAGAATCATCCGGCAGATATTTTCAGAAATATTTTTCCGACCTGCTTCAGTGCATTGCCCAATTGTCGGAAAAAATATGAGAAATGGTTCAAATTAATGCAGCAGCATTTTTCCCATGCATACTGACATAGATGAAGATTTGAGTGGAATGGCAAATATCATCTGACCACGGTTCGCAGAACCCTTGATTTGATCTCTTCACTTCAGTTGGCACTATTAAATTATAAGTTTGCTGCATTAGGAGAAAACAAGCCTGGGTTTTTTTCTGAATTGAACTCACATATCCGGAAATATAAGAAATGGCGACTATTTTGATCACTTTTCAACGAAATACAATGCCAATGGACTCTCTCTACAAAGAATTGCCTACAACGATTTTTCTCCGGATACAACGATATTTTTTGGTCCCACAGGGTTTCCTCCCCGTGTTTAGGGATTCTCTATAACAAAAGTAACTCTACAAGGATTTTTTTGAGGTCCCTTCCCACAAACAGACGGACAATTTCAACGCGAATAAAGAAACGTTCTGTGAAAATAATAGTAAATCGTGAAGACATTTTTCCTGCTGTTTTCTCTCAAAAGTATTTTCCTTATAGACATATTGCTCATATACAAAATCCCATAATTTGAGGAACGCACTGTAAGAAAAAAAAGCTACGCAGAAATTAGAAAATTCTTGAGGAATTGTGTTGATTTCCCTGTGTCCATTTTCCTTTCAGACTTATTGCTTACACGTAAAAAATATATTTCGAGGAAATATGCTGTTTTCAGTTTTTTTACGGTCTTACTTTGTCAAAATCTCCCAAAAAGATCATTTGAGCAATTTCGTGTAAAATTTCCCTCCAGCATGCATCAGTGGGGTTTTTTCTTGTGATAATCCCATATACATATTTTGAAAATTGAAAATGCCGTACAAGATATTTTTTACATCAAAAAATGAGAAAAAACTCTAGACTCCACTGAGAAAATCCCCCTTTTATTATTTTCCACTCAATAAACGTTGCAAATTCGAGGATGCACGCTTACAAACGGATTTGTTCTTCGTAATGTTTCCCCCTACTTCTCCCCACGTATATACAGTACAGTAAATGAGAGTTGGTCGAGTGTTGGAGCAAACCGAACCCAAAGGTAATTCACCCTGCCATTTTTTTGTTTCATCTCCAGTACGTGCTATTATTGTGGGCGTTGGTCGGCGAGAAACCCGTCTTGTGCAGTCGCGAATTTCATTCCCGCCCGCGGGGCACAAGGCAAGAGAGGAAATGAAATTAGGGTGCCCGAGGTCCGGCGGATGTCTGGCATCCGTTTGCCTTTGTGGGAAGTAACAAGTACCTCCGAGGGCTGCTGCGACTTTTCTCACCAGAACCGCAGCGATTCGAGTTCCCACGCAAAACGCTGTCAGTCCGGAATGAATCCCACCTTTCAGTCACCCGACCGATCCTTATCTCCTGATGATATTCCGCGGACTTCCTACATATACAAACCTCCTACTTTTTTCCGGAAGAATTTTTTTTTTTACAAAAGTACAGTATGTCTAACGACGGATTCATAAAAAAAATAAGAAAGAAATGTCACATTAATCGAAAAGGGAAGAAGAGCGAAGTGATTGTTTCATTTTCGTGATGGAAGATAGAGTCATGGGAAATATACCAGCGCTTTTTTTTTTCCTGGGAAGGATTCGCAGATTTATTCCACGGGGTTCCGTTTCGGTCTTCTTCCTGGATGTATAGTAGTAGTATAAGTGGTTCATTAAGAGACTGAATGCACTTAATTGCATCCTTGAACATTTCATGCGCGTTGTCGATCCAATTTTCACTCGGAAAATTTGGACGCATCCCAAGTACGTTTGTCGAATTACTGCGAGCTACTCATAATTACGCCAATTTCGGACGTCATTGATCCGGAACATCATCTTAAACTAAACTTTTAGTACTTCATAATGAGTACTGCAACCTGCTTCACAATGTGTCGGATTCTAAAATACAGCAAAAGGAACGTAAATTGTCAAAGTAAAAAGAACTGCTTGCTTTATGAGAAATTGGAACGGAGTTTCACAGAAGTTTCCTAAAAATAAATTTGATCTTTCAAGTAGCATTTCAATTTGAAAATAAATATCTTCAAGCATCAAAATGATCTCTCACGTGAGGACATCGAATTCTTAAATCCCAGAATTTACCGTATAGTCTAAAACAGATGTTTGAAAATTATAACGAGGAAGAGAAGGGAGTTCATTCAGTTACAGTACTTTGACACCAATAATTAGAATTTTGCACCTCTTTTAAACCATCTCATGATTTAGCATGTGGAACAAGAATTCAAGCCGCCATTAATTTGGACACGGCGCTTTTCTTATTAAAATTCGAAACAAATAAAACATCGTTTCACTGGGAAGGAACTACAATATGCTGCATCAGCTAGTGTCACTAATGACGATATTTTAACTGCGATCGATTTCTTCCGGCAGGAACAAAAAAAAAGTGTCTGCGTATATTCTCAGGATTACATTCAAAAATCTCGACCATGAAGGAACCAACAAGTTGAAGTATAATGTCATTATACATTGACCCAATTCAAGACTAAATCGGATCGATCAAGGAGTTGAACACCCATAACCCCAGAACCCCAATGACTAAGCAACCAATCCTAAAATTACGAAAACAGCATCATGACATGATTTGCTATTGATCTCCAATTGCTCAAACGAGGGAACAACAACACCTACAATTTCAAATTGCCAACACTTGTGGCACAGAAGAAAAAAAAAAGCCCTCATGTAACCTCTTTAACACGCTCTCAAACTCGGTCATTTATTGACGGATCGAAAACCTAAGCAGCGATTTTCTTGCCTTATTCTTCACATCCCGTTGTTACGAAAGTTTCTTCTCGTAAGGGGGCAGTTTGTGAATAATTTCGCCACATTAAAGGGAAAAATTTTTCCGCCCGGAAGTCGTGAAAGCACTGGGGTTCTAAATCTGATGCACATTCAGGCAAATGGGGCATAATTTACACCATAAATAAAACTCAATGGTGAATCGAGTCCATGCGGGAGGAGAAACGTTGAGTTTCACAGGGAGAACATGGGGAAAGTCATGCTATAGTTTGTCGTGCCTCTTGTTGGTCACTTTACTAATGTCCTGTGGGCTGTGAGTGACTTCAGGTTCAGATGATGATGCAAATTCGCGCCCCAAACACAGATAAAAAAAAACATTCTCAAATAAAAGTGAAAATTCTAGAAGGTTGAAAATGTATGAAGGAGACCTCTCTTGACTGATCCGGTTATCATGGTCAAGATTATCATTCATCCTTTGATGGGAAATTGATGATTTCACGCTGCAACTAAACCAGCAAAAATAGTTTTATTAGTGACCAGTCCTCGACTAAATGTTGTTGAAAGTGCTTTTCCCCTCAAAAGCTAAAATCCTTCAAGCAGGAAGGATTGACTTTAAAATGTTTATCCTTCACTCAGTAATTTTTTTTAAAATTGAAAATCCCGATGAAGGTGCTGAATAGGTGGACTCTCTCTAGAGTCAAGAACGATATCGTTTAAGGATTTTTTTTTATCCCATGGGATTCTCTCCCCATTTTACAGGAATTCTCTAGTTTTACAACAACAAATTTTTTGATGTTCCTTTGAATTTTGTTGGAGAGAGAGAGAGAGTCCACCTGTAATTTATACGGTACTGTAATCGGGTCGAAAGTACATTCAAAATTTTCGGATTGTTGGGACGAGAAGCCAAAGGTTTACGCGCGAAAAATTAAAATGTGCAAAAATGTTTCAACAAATATTACCAAGATATTTTTCGTCATTAAAAAAATTAACCCAATGTTTTCATAGTGGCAGGACCATTTTTGTGTGTGACTGTGGATTCCGAGGAACTCACAAAAATTACGCACACCTGCCTGGTTCGCAAAGACCCCCAAGAACCGCGAAAACAATGCATTATCGGGACAGCAGACCACAACCTTGAAAAAGGGGAAAGGGTTGAAGGGAATTGCGCGCTGATGAACACCTGCGCGTGTGTTTGTCACAGTCTCGATGAAAGGCCCCAAAAATTACTGCGAATAATAAACAGAAAAAGAGGAGCAAAACTAAAGAAAAGGCCTGAGGCGGGGAAGGCCGATTCTCATCCAGGCAGTGAAATTCCGGCGAAAACAAAAAAGAAATAAATAAATAAACCGGGTCTTTTGCAGTCACTCGGTGGAAGGTGACCATTGCACGCCTTGGCACTTTTCCGGACGCCCGGCGACGAACAAGCGATCGTGTTACGCGCCGTTGAGCCCCGATTTTCTCTCCTTGCTGCTGTTGGCTGGGAAATAGCTTGAGATCCCCCCCCCCCCCCTCTTTCATCCCATGTTTTCCGCGTCCAATTTTTCCCTAATTTGCCTCACAAGTTTTCCTTTTGCCTTTCATACTCGCACATTTGCTCTTTAGCGTCTGTGCCTATTTTCCCCCATCCAAATCCCCATATACAGCAAGACCCCCACATGCTGACACTTCAACCTGCGGACAATTCAACATAAGGACACTTATTTTCCAAAAAAATATTACAAAAAAGAGACCCATCATGAGGACACTGACTCAACATAAGGACATTTGGTGATAAAATTGCAAATACATTTCAGGCCAAATTACAAGATACAGA